ACCTTGATCTCACGACAGTTAAACACCACTCAGCAAAATGACCCTTTTCGCTTCCTTGAGCGCAGGCCCGAGCAGCGCAGGCTCCTTTCAGGGATTATTCTGCATCAATAACATTTGCCTTCTGAAAAGTCTGACTGCACGGGCAAGGAAGAACAGGTCAGGTGTTTACTGGTTTTTCTTTTGTTGCCTGGAGTCACGCGTGATTCACAGAGGGCAAGTCAAGATGCACCAGCTCAGCCCATGGGAAGATCCTCTTCTTAGAGGTTACAGAACTAAACATAACCAAGGCAGAAAAAGGAAACAGATCCCACGGAGAGCTAAACCAACTTTTTACCAGTACTACTCTACCCTCCAAATCTAAATATCCTTCACTTTCCCACTAGAAGCACCCACTGTATTTAAATCGATTCATACCTCAAAGTCGCAGCAGAACTGCAAACTGCCTGGCTGAGCACCGACATTAGCTGCCTAATTAAAGAATGTACTCCTCACCACCCAAAATCCCCTCCTACTTACCCGATCCTCTTCTGCAACTGGAATAAATTAAGCAGCAGCGGCTGTGGGAGCCGCAGGATACACAGGCTGCAGCGCTCGCAGGCCTGGCGGGAGGGAGAGGGTCCCAGACGACTTTTCAAGGCGACATAAACCAGAAGAGCGGTCCCCTGAAATTCGCCTGATTTAACCGAATTTTTCACGCACCCGTTTATTTGGGTAGCGGAGCGCTGAAAATATCTGAGGTATCTCTGCCTGCTCTTATCGCCTCTGGAGGCTGCAGCCTGTGGGAGCAGCGATAAGGCCCGTCCCCGCTCCCCGGGCTGTCAACAAGCGGCGGAGGGAACCCCCGGGGGCGGCTGCTGCCGGGCCCGGCTCCTCCGCGCACCCGGGGGAGCTCCCCGGCCACCCGCATCCCCGGGGCACCCGCCGGCTCGGCCCGGGCCCCCCGGGCTGATAGCTGGCCACAGCGCTCGCCCACCGGGCCGGGCTCCCCGCGGGCCCCGCCACGGCCCGGGCACCGACCCCCCGGCGGAGGCTCCTCCTCCGCTCGCCGGCCCCCAGAGCCGCCGCCGCCGCCCCC